TACAGCTGAAAGTGAGAGCGAGCGCCCTCACCACTGTCATCACCACCAGAACACCACCACCACCACCATTCACCGAGTGCCACTCATCAGTTGACCACTGAGAGCGCCTCACTATCATACTCGAACGTCTGTGTGTGTGTGTGTGAGTATTGCGCATATTTGGGAGAGAGAAGAGGGAGGGGAAGAAAGTGTGTTCCAGCATCCATCCCGGTTGTTGATCAAAATGAGTTTTTATTATCATTACCATTAATTATAATTACAAGTAGATCAGAGGGGATAAGGAGAGAGAGAGAGAGGCAAAAAGTAAGGAGAAGAGCAGTATTGATGATAGAAGTAGAAGTTGCGGTGGTAGTGTAAAAGAAGTTGGTGATGGTGGATGAGATTTAAAGATGAGAGATGATGGAGGTGATACCTTACAACAAATAGTAGGAAGAGGAAGATCACAAGTGGTGTAAAGAGTGTAAAGAGTGGTAAAAGTAGTGGTTTAAGCGTGCAAGCAAATAAATAAGAGGGGATGAGAGGATGATGGTGATGAGGATGATGATGCAGATGAAGAAGAATGTGTGTGTGGGTGTAAACTTAGGAAAAAGGCAACAAATGTTCGCTTGTTTGTGTAAAACTCCCAACATCTTTAACGACGTGTTCCTCCTCCTCCTGCTTTGCTCTCGCTGAGAATGTTTCCCTTTTCGGCAAAGAGGCGCTGAATGCCGTTGCCGACGAGAAGAGGCGTCGGCGTACCACCTCCTCCCCCACCATTCATTAGCAGTGGCCCATTGGGACTTAGGCAGACGCCAGGGCAGTTCTCCTTGTTCGAGGAGACGGAGATGGAGTCGTCGGCGACTTTGAGTGTGCAGTTCGGTGTATCACAGGAGCTGTTCACCTCAGTGCTTTGCTTGCTTGGTGAACTTTCAGCAGTTTTCACCAGCTCCACTTCAGCCTCAGCTCGACTACTACAGCTACGATCACTTGGAGGACTTGGAGACGGCGGCTGCGGTTGCAGTTGCTGCTGCTGCTGCTCCTCGTCAGGCAGATCAGACAATGACTTAGAACGGTGAAGAGATTTCTGAGTGAAAAAATAAAATGAGAAAAAAACTCCTCTCAAGTTCAAATCCACTTACTTTAACGTTAGCTCCCGTGTTCAGCAGCTGTGCGTTCAGCAGGAGGTGCTCGGCGTGGCTGATGGCCACTGGGGAACTCGGAGCAGCTGGGTAAGCTCTCCGGGAAAGAGTGAGGCAGCAGATGAGGAGGACCAGAAGGAGTTCGGCGACCATCAACAGGAGGTGGTCACGGTTGAGGGCGAGCCAAGAGTAGAGATCAAAAGTGCCACTGCCGCCGCCTCGCACCTCCTCAATGGCCGCCTTCAGGTGGTTGATCTCCGACTCCAGCGTCATAATGTTCTCCTGCTGTTTGGCGTCCTAAGATGAAAAAAATGTTCAAATAAAAATGAGCACATTTAACCACCAAATGCACTTACCTTCTCCGCCGCCCTGATCGCCGTGTTGTTCAGGTGCTCAATGGTCTTGTTGAAGATGAGCTGCATCTCCTCCATCTGATTGCGGTAGCGAACGCTGAGGCCCTCCAGGTACGTCGACATGAGGGAGATGTTCTTCTCCAGGTGCTTGATGCGATTCGTCAGGCGAATGATGACCGCCTCCTTTGACTGGCCGCTGCTCGAGCTGAGCACCTCGCCGCCGCTCGTTGCTTCGCCAGTTTGATAAGATTCGATGGCCGGCGGCGGGGGCAGTGGTGATACTGAAGAGGGTGATGAGGGTGGTGGCGATGACTGTTGACTGGTAGAAGATGACTGTGACTCAGCATCGGAGCTGTCCAGTGGGTTGACTTCAGCTTTCGGCGATGATGATGATGATGATGATGATGATGATGATGATGCCTTTTCAGTGGACATTGCACTGCTGTTGTCGAGCGGCGTCAGGACGACACCATCACTGAAAGCCACCGAGCTCTCAGTAGCCACCGAGATCGTCGCCGAGGGCAGCTGGTGGGTGCTACTGATGGCCGACTGAACGACCGTCGGCGCAATGATCGACGACTCGATTGAAGAGGCGGCAGAAGAAGAAGAAGCTAAGGCGGTGGTAAAGTTGTACTGCAGCTCTTCGCCAATGGCAGACAGTGAGTCGGGAATGAGGAGGACACTGCTGCTGCTGAGGATGCTTTCGGTGACCGAGGTGGGCAGAGAACTACCACTTCCACCACTACTACTGTGGTTAATCTGCTCCACCAGACTGCTGCTGGTGATGGTCTGGTGGCGGTGCTGCTGCTCCCGGTGCAGCCCCTCCTCCACGATGTGCACCAGCTGCTGCTGCTGCTCCTGCTCCTGCTCCTGCTGACTACCGCCGTCCACTGCTTCCGAGAGGTTCACCATCGGGGAAGTAGTCTCTCGAGTGCTTCTCGAGCCACCTTTGCTTCCTCCTTTGCCACTCAGCTGCTGCTGCAGCCTGGCATTGGCAATCAGCAGACTGAGCCCGGTGGCGTTCAGCTGTGCATAGGTGCGATTGTAGGCGCACTGAAAGAGCAGGCCACTGTTGATGTACCGCCGAATGACGTACTGCGTGTACAGCAGGTCAAAGAGGGCGGCGGAGTTGTGGCGGCGACGGTCCTCTCCCGGAAAGAGCAGGTAGCGCAGGTAGACGCACTGCCGGGGAATGTGCACCGTGCAGTGGCTCTGGTTGAAGGTCAGCTGGTGGCCGCCGCTGCTGAAGAAGGTCTCACAGGCGTCCAGGTACCGCTCGTAGCGACCGTACAGGCGAATCACCACCGACTGGTCCTCCACGTTGAAGGTGTTGCTTCGAGGCTGACCACTGTCGACATTGCCATCGGCACTACCACCTTCTTTCCTGCCCGCCGGATCTTTGCCGTTGCTGCTGTTCACCGAGGAG